CCGGTCATGCTGAATGATGTTACAGGCAGCATAACGTTCTCCACGGCTTCTCCAGACCCTTTCACGTCTGTCACATGTGCTCAGGGTGAACCTGCTCTCATCTGTGAAAAGCACAGGGTGCCAGTGGCGGACATACCAATTCTGGTGTTCAATGGCAAATGCCAATCGAGCTCCACGGTGCCGGGCAGTGAGCACAGGGCCCACTAGAGGACGTTGGGCCCTCAGACCACCCTCATGAAGTCTGTTTCTGATTGTGTTTAGGAGTTTAATTGACTTGATGCTATACCCTGATTAAAAAGTGTTCCTTTAATTTTTTTGAGCAGTGTATAAGAGAAAGGAAAACTTGAAATCGCATCATATGACCCCTTTAATATGAATTCAAATTATATAAATATATTTAATATAATTCTGATTATATGATATAATATCTGATTTGTCTTCTCGTTCCTCAGAGAGCCCTACCATGACATCCGATTCAATCTTATGGCGGTGGTTCCAGATCGCAGGATAAAATACGAGTCTAAGCTGGAGATCCTGAAACGGAACAGGCAGATCATTCTGGAAGGGCTCCAGCAGGTTAGGGAGAAAAAAGTGAGTACTTTTTTGTGTGTGTGAATAAAATCCAAACTTTGGAGTCTCAAACATTCTGTGAAGGATTTCTCTATTGGCACTTTTCCATGGTACGGCTCACTTTTGGGGGGTTTCCACTGTGTTCAGTACCTAGTACCTGGTACTTTTTTTTTAGTACCACCTCAGTTGAGGTTCCAAGCGAGCCGTACCGATACTAAAATGTGACGTGAAAACACTGCAGATTCATTGGATTTGTGACACGAGACACCAAACCCGCTAGATTTAAATAGTCAGCAACAGCCAGCGCAGTCACTTTTTTAAACAACTTTCTTTAAACGACTGGCGCACACAACTTGAAAAAAGAAATGGCTGTATCGTGGCGTAGATGGGGTGGCCGCACAACTATAATGATCAGTTTATAATCCCACCCACATTGAAGCGTTACTAAACTGCAGTGGAAAAGCAAACCAAGCCAAAGTAAAGTGAGCCGAGCCGTACCACATAGTGGAAAAGCGCCATATGTGTCAAATCTAGGTCAGTTGTCAATGTCTCAGTACACCTATGTACATGCTACAGGTAATTCAGATGACCCAACAAGGTTCAGGCCAGGATCGAAAGCAACAAGACTCCTCCTCCTCAGAAGACACGCCTCCTGCTGTGAAAAAGGAGGAGGGGCAAGATACGCCGATACCTTTGTGTACAGAGCAGGCCTCACCCACTGGTAACATATTTGAATTTAACTTAATTTGAATGTCTTAAATTTATTTAAAATGAGAACCTTTTGATTAATACCTGTTATTGCCAACAATGACATGTGTGGAGAAATAAGTCAATGGGAACATTCTTGCCTCAAAACATACAACAGTCCGTGTGAATAGGTTTTAATAGTAATGTATAAATATAGTTTAAGCGTTATTCAGTAATGTAGGGATTCAAAAAAGAACCTAAAACATGTCCCATGACACTTTAGAAACTCAGGAAGGTGCCACTGCTCTCCCAAGTCCCGCTGGAAAAGTCAGACCCATGGCTAAACCTGCCACCTTGCCTACAGGGGGCGCTCCGCCACCAGCCCCTCTACCTGTTCCCAGCCCCAACCCCAATCCCATCGTCCAGCGTCTGCCAGCCTTCCTGGACAACCACAACTATGCCAAGTCCCCCATGCAGGTAAGGTCGGTTGTGTTTCAGGATATCTGGAATAGTTAGCATGATATGTGCTTTCATTCAGTATGCTTGATGATTGATAGGAAGAGGAGGATCTTGCTGCAGGTGTGGGTCGCTCACGCCTACCTGGCCCCCCTCAGCCCACTTATTCCGATGATGAGGATTACTATGTTGATGAAGAGGAGGAGTGCAGCACTGCAGGTGCAACAAGCAGGTATACAACTATCAAAGTGTTCAAATTTGAACATATTTAATGTGTTCTTGCAGTAGTAACAAACCTCCAGTACTCAAAAGGGCGATAGAGTTCTTTCAAATGTCTGTATCGTTAAACTAAAGGTGTTATTATTCAGCAAACTATAAACATAGTGACAACTTAACAACCTTTACCTAACTTGCTTGGCAACATTTAGTAGTAAAGCCGCCTTTCACTGCACGCAACATTGGGACACGACTGTCGCATTTCTCCCCCTAGTGGCAGTCACACAGAACTTTCAAATTGGTCATGCAGCAACGTTACCTTGGCATATTCACAATGGTAAAATGAATGCTTTTAATGAATATAATTAATGTATGAATGTATCGTCACAAAATAAAAACATAGTAGGTTTTATAGGGCTAATCAATGTAAATAATGATTTAATAATTATAAAATAATTATTTCTGCCATAATTATTCTAAAGCACCATTTTACAGAAATAGTGTTTAAAGAATAATGTTAATGTGAACAAAATATTGGTAATTCTAACCTTACGCTCATAGTTTTTAATAGAATACATCCGGTCGGGTGGTCGCAAACGATCTAGCCACTGAAGTTCAAATATTTTAATGCATCCAAATCGGATCCAAAATTTCCGCATACGCATATGATCGTAACTCCACGCAGCTCCCGCACTACTCTCCATTGGAAATGAATGACTTTCGGTCTGTCGTTTGTCGGAGATAGTGGAAAGGCAGCTTAAGTAGTAGAAAAAATTACTGTAGAAGCAAAAAAAAGCCCACAATAGTGGCCCTTGGAACACAATGACGTATTTGCATTCATGTAGTTACATAGAGTACGTTTTGGACCTTTATTGGTTGTCTGTGTGATCAGCAGGGTCCAAAGAAAGGTTGGTCTACGTGCACGTACCATGGGCCGAAGTGGAGTCTGTGCGGTTGCAGCAATGGAGGGTCAGCTAGCACTCAGCGTTTTAGCTGAGAAACTCAAGAAGGAAGTCCAAAGGAAGGACTCCATGGCTACAACAGGTTCCACACCTCTGAATGTACGCACCGAGGGTCGCACGGGTGGGATCAGCATCACCTCGGCCTGCCAGCCGTCGCCCACGCCCAGTAACGAAAGCACGGATACGGCCTCGGAAATCGGAAGCGCGTTCAACTCACCACTTCGCTCGCCCGCAAGATCGCAAGCAGCTACGCGGCCCTCCAGCCCTGTGGTGCCCCACTTGAGTCGTGTGCTGTTTGGAGAAGAGGAGGGGCTGCTTAGGTTAGATGCCCGACACAATCGAGCCGTCCGGGACTTGGGGGTGCTAGTGAGCTCCACGATGCTGCGACTGCAAGAGGATGGCGTCATGTACGCCTTGCCAGCTACAGGTACGTGTTCACGTTCAAAACAATGAGGTTTTAACAACTGAAATTTCTTTTGTGGAATACTTTTTTGGATAACCTCGATCTCATTTGACAGAAATCTTGGAAGGGTTAAAGAAAGCAGGTGGTGTGGAGAAGAAAGAGAAAGAAGAGATGACTGGTCCAGGAGGAGAGGAGGAAGTGAAGGAAGGACCATCAGTGGAGATGAAACAGGAGGACGTCAAAGAGTCAGTGGACATCAAACCAGACAAGGAGAACCTGCCATCCATCAATGCAGAAACCAGCACCAAACCTCCTGGAGAAAAATACACCCCTAAAGTAAGACACCAGAAATTTGTTTTCTTTCTGCGATGTAGTGATGTTTGCTATGAGTTAGTGATGCAACTTTCCATGAACTTGAGGGTTTCTGTTGCACAGGAGTTGCTGGCTTTGTTGAAGTATGTGGAAGCTGACATTGCCAACTATGAAGTGTGTTTGAAAGAAGAAGTGGAGAAAAGGAAAAAGTATAAGGTAAGTGTTTGACTTAAGGTTTCCGGTGAACAAGAACGTAATCTCGCAGGACTTTCCGGAATGATTTCCAGAGAACCTGTAGTGATGCTTTTTGTCCTTTTTCAGATCGATGACCAAAGGAGGACTCATAACTATGACGAATTCATCTGCACCTTCATATCAATGCTGGCACAAGAAGGTAAAAAATATGTTGTTTCTTCTGTGGAATGCAAAATCAGATATTTTTGAGAATCTTCATATGCCACAAAAATGGAAGCGTGAACGTTCTGTTAAACGAATCCAGTGGTTCCCAACCATGTTTAAACTTTGCACGTGATTTTCTTAATCAAACACACTTGATTCAGATCATCAGCTCATTAATAGACACTCCAAGACCTGAAATGGGTGTGTCAAACAAAGGAGACATTCAAAATGTGTAGTGTTGGGGGGGTTTCAGGAACATGGTTAGGAACCACTGCTTTAATCATTCCTTAATCATTCCATGTCCTTTTGGTGTTTTGTAGGTATGTTAGCGAGTCTGGTGGAGCAGAACATCTCCGTGCGTCGCAGACAGGGCGTAAGCATTGGCCGGCTCCACAAACAACGCAAACCCGACCGGCGGAAACGTTCACGACCATACAAAGCCAAGCGCCAATAAATGCTAAAAAAGAACCGAATGGCAGCAACTCGACAACTCAATCTTTCTGAAATATTGTCCAGAGACATTTCTGAAGATGAACAACGATACCAAACACCTCATTGACAGTGTTAGATATTGATTAAAATATATATATATATATATTTTTTTTATCAAGCTGTTTCACATAATAAACTGCCCATGTACAAGTACATCTCACGGGTGCAGGTCTCTAATCCACTGGCACTTGACTCAACAGTGCGTGAGCTACATCCTTTTTACAATCTCTAGATTATAGAACACTGCATTCTGTCAGCAATGTAACGTGGCAGTAACATATAGAGACCTCGGCTTGTAACTATACTCTAATTACTATTTTGAAAATTATAACGCGTTAAATTACTCCGTTACTAAAAAAGTAATCAAATTAACGTGTTATAGCCTAATTAGAAACTCTGCATACGCTTGCACCTGTTAATCGTTTATATTTTATATTAGTTCATGTTTCTTTTGTGCAATAGATGAATAACAATTTATTTGTTTTAGATATTTTATGTTTAGATATTTCTATTTTGCGGGAATCCCGTGAATCGTTTATTCTCCTGCATCCCGCACACACACACACGAGTGTCTACCCGCCCGCACCAGCACTCGCCCATCTTGTCCCGCGCCGCACTCTGTTGCGTCGGGTCTCGCGGGAGCAGGTCTCTGATCCACTGGCACTTGACTCGACAGTGCCTGTGCTACATCCTTTTTAGGTCTCTAGATTATAAAACACTGCATTCTGTCAGCAATGTAACGTGGCAGTAACATATAGAGACCTCGGCTTGTAACTATACTCTAATTACTATTTTGAAAATTATAACGCGTTAAATTACTCCGTTACTAAAAAAGTAATCAAATTACAGTAACGCGTTACTAAGTAATGCGTTACTGCCCAACACTGATCACCACTTGCTCACAAGATGTTTAGAGATACTGAACCATTTTTCATGTTGCCATTACTTCATGTACTGTATCAAGCTAATCATAAAACCAACAATCATTGGAGCACCATATTGGGAAAATGACTGAGTATCTTGACTGAGCATTGGGCTGGACTGATTCAGGCTCTAAATTACAAAGATTCCAAGGAATATTAATCTCCAGAAATCCCAAATATCTAGTCCAGGTGCTACCACAGATAATGGCGCTCCAAATTCACTCAAACAGTGCAGGGTATGTTTGTTGTTAACAAATGGACCAATCGCCAATCTGGATGGGATTCTAGAGATACGCTTTTCAAAGTCCACAGCTGTTTTGTTCATAAGATTAATAGACAAAAAGAATGCAAGATGTTTTAAGACTGTAAACTTGAGTTGGTTTGTGAATGTGTATTGGTTCATTTCATACAAATCATCTCAGCAAGAGTTAAATAAGAAAAGGTTTTTGGTTGAAGTTTACTTGTTCTTCACAATTTTCTTTAAGATTGTTTTTATTGGTAAGGAATAGGCCAGTGGGTTTTGTCTCAGACATGTTCTATTTGTTTGTACATGTATTTGTGTATTATCTGATGTCCACACAGGACTGTCAGGTCTAGACATTGAAATAAATGTTTCGAATTACACTGGTGGTCTTGGTTTCGTTTTTAAAAGCGTCTTGCTTGGAAAGAACTAGTCTTCAGACGTAGTCTTCCGCCCGCCACGCCCCCTCCTCATTGAAGGTGAAGAGCATCGCTATGGCTTCCAACTTCACGGTTTTTCTTCTGTCCACGGGATTATTCACGACTGTAGTCGGTAAGTGTCTAAGGAAATGTTTCTAAACATTTTAAACTTGCTTTTCGAGTAAATAAAGTTTTTGAACTACGAACACATGACGGATGTCATGTTTGTTTGGAAGTATGTGGGAAGGCTGCGCTCGTTTTTAAGATATTTTCAAATTATTCCGATATTCCCCTCTTTTATGTTTTACGTGTTTCTAGTTTGTTAATTATTTGTCATATTTTTCTAAACATTGTTATTGCGCGTTTGGCACGCCATGTTTCTTTTTCCACGTGGAGATTAAGTACACTTGTTGAAATTAAGTTAGTATTATAAATGTTTCCCTGTTGTTATAAAGATGTTAAAATGATCAAATTGTTTATGGTGCTAAACTGTAATATGACCAGTAAAACTCCAAACAAGTAAAAATGTTAGATCCTTGAAGGAAGGAAGTGTTCATTTTAGTCTACGTTAATCTTTTTAATGACTCAATTGAACCGATTCACACAAAAAAGAGAGGACCGTCTCATTTGAACACGTCAGACTCATGAATATTAGTATTGAATTTTAGTGTTGTTTAATGTAAATACCAATCTTTGAAAGAACCGATTGAAGAAAATTAGTCATATTTTTTTAATGTGTTTAAATGCAGTCGTTTTTTGTTCACACATTTGATGTTTTTATCATTAAAATGCTACTGTGTGCAAGACTTTTGTTGTTTTTCTCGTTAATAAAATACTGAATGGCTGCTGAGTCACTTATACAACCAATCAAGTTTTAATATTGGCAAAATATTGCTCAAAATGATTATTAGTCTCATTTTACCCTGATTAAAGGGGGTTTCTATGTCTCTGAAACATTTAACATGAACAGTGATGCTTTACTCCAAACTTCCAAACAAGTGATTCACAACACAGGTTAAAGATTTGAATTACTTTTAAAATGGCTCACATTTCCTCTGTTTTATTTGTTTAGGCTTTGAGAGATGCAGCATGTATAAGACAGACTCTGTAGTCTGTGATTTTTGGAGATCTGAGTTCTGCTGTGGGACCTGTGATGAGAGCTACTGCTGCTCGGATCAACAAAAGAAATTTACTATTAAAGCACAAAGTGACTGTCTTTTGTAAGGAATTACTTTTTTTCTTTCTTAATATAAATCAGAGCTAAATGTTTAATATTTCTCCCTCACCAGATGTTACCACTGGGTATTTATTCTGATAATTTATATTATTTTCTAACTAGATTGGTTGTGCATGATTCTAACAATCTTCAGTTTATTAGTTAATTTAGTTTGTAAATACTAAATACAAAAAATAAATATGAGAAATTCCATAGGGAAACCTGTTATTTATATGAAAATGTTTGTATAAAATGTAAATTTTTGGTATAAGCAAGTAGATTTAAACATAATAGAGCGCCACTGAAACTAAGTTTTGGACAGAGCTGCCATTATTCTGTGAGATTAAGAGAACAGGGACCCCAGAGGAAATACCTTCCTGCCATCATTTCCCTCTTCAGTCCCTAGACGACAAAGGATTTTTCTAGTGAATGTGTCAAATACAATCACAACTGAATCTTAGGCTCTGTTTACACACAAGTGGATGGCTGAAATATTATCTCCATTTGTAACCTATTATTGTGTTTATTCTCCATTATCTGTCCAAAAGCAAAGACCTCAGGATTTCGCCTAAATATTCTCCTCAACGCGACGCTGTTTCTATTGCCGTCAGTGCTTCCATACTAGGACTTGTAGTCGTCATCATTTTGTTCCTCATCTGCTGGGTCTGTCCACGCTGCTATCTCTATAAGAGGTTCAGAAATCCTAGACATAAGTTAATGTTTGTACGTTAAATTGGCCGAATGTTTTTAGAACATCATTTCAGCGTTGTTCCACCTTTGATTCTTCACAAAGCTGTGATTACGACAACTACGGTCGTCACGACACAATACCTTCCGCAGCCTTCAGCCGTCATTCAGGGCGGTCAGTACCTTCCCTACCAGGCTTTGCCAAATAACCCACCTTGTGGAGACCAACCAATGTCAACTGGACCACCACCCTCATATCAGGAGGCTGGTAAGATCTGCAAACAAGATGACCAAGACTATTTTAGCCAAGATGGCGAGCCATCAAAATGATTGCCGTCTTTGGTTTTCCAGTAGGTCCAGGGTATCCTGTTCCCATCCATGATGGTGGTCAGGCCACGTATCCTCTACAGTCATCGCTGCCCACAGACTACACCTCACCTCAACCAGCGTACAACCCTGCTTACACCAGTTGCAACAGTTCAGCCATCAAGACCAGTAACTAAACCCAAACCGCTGCATTCTGGAGGGTTACATATTTCGGCTCTGCTGTTGTGAATTGTGCAGCTACTGTGGACACTATCGTACAATGGTGTTGAGAATACTATTGTTGTTGTCCATTAATATTGCCGCATTTATGCTCTTGTTCACCATTATGTTTACACTTGTTTAAACATTTGAATGTTTCTTTCTCTCTATTCTAACCAAAGATCTATCCATTGTAGTTATTTTGGGTCCTAGATTGGTACAGATATTTTGAGATTGTAAATTTGTTAAGTTGTGAATGTGACTATCGATTCATTTCATGCCAGTCAAACTAAACAAGAGTCAAGCTGACTATCAGAGTTCAGAGTTGAAGAAATTGTTAGTATCAAGTTTACAGAAGTGGGTTTTGTCTCAGGCATGTTCTGTCTGTTTGCATTTATAGAATTGTGTATTTAAAATCAATATGCTTCACACGTTACACTGGTGGGTTTTGGTTTTGTTGAATGTTTCTTGCATGGGAGGGGCACTATAGCCACTTATCAGGATTGTTTGAGTTACAACGGCAAGAAAAACATGGTTTAATTGGTCCTGCAGTCTCCGGAAATACACCATCAGCACGAAACGAGGTATTGAGGGGGATGAGCAGCGCTGTGCCTACAACAATACGGTTCTTCTGCAGTTTTATTTGTGGTGACGGTAGGTAAGTGTCTAATAGTTTGTTTAATCAAACACTAAGAAAAATCTGTAGATAATGGAAAAAGGTACTGGTAATGTGTTATCCTGCTAATGTGTTTTAGATGTTTTCAAAGCTCCAAGTATTGTGCGTGTATAATGGCTGTTTTCATTCCTAAAACCCTTAAGGATTGCATGCAAATACTTACAAATTATAAAGACACGGAGTGTGAACTTTAACATCTACTCCTCGGCTATGTTCTATTCCTGAATGAATCTTTCCAGTCAGATCTTATCAAGGAATCAGCCGAACTAGCTGACAAAATTGATCTGAATGATTTTGTTCATAAATCCGACTGAAGAACTGTCTCAAATGTCAGAATCAAGACTTGTAGTACTGTTAAATGTAGGCTAAATTAAAATTATGTATATTCTTTGTAAGAACTGATTGACGATAGCACACGTAGGCCTACATCTGCAAGATGTCTGTAAAAGATCACTTAATCTGGAAAGCATCTGCTATGTACAAACATCTAAAAAATTTCATAAGATGTCAGTTTTACATACATTCTAAATCATAAACATCTTAAAGACATTTTCTAAACGTCTATTTGATTGGAACCGTCCTATTGATATATTGCAGATGAGCAAACACTAATAAATACGTCTCGCAGACGTCAAATAGATTCTGGTAAACCAACACTTCCAAGGAGTGCAAATTGGTCCAATGCTTAGCTTGTTATTCGAAGACTGAAATTGTTAGTATCAAGTTTACAGAAGTGGGTTTTGTCTCAGGCATGTTCTGTCTGTTTGCATTTATAGAATTGTGTATTTAAAATCAATATGCTTCACACGTTACACTGGTGGGTTTTGGTTTTGTTGAATGTTTCTTGCATGGGAGGGGCACTATAGCCACTTATCAGGATTGTTTGAGTTACAACGGCAAGAAAAACATGGTTTAATTGGTCCTGCAGTCTCCGGAAATACACCATCAGCACGAAACGAGGTATTGAGGGGGATGAGCAGCGCTGTGCCTACAACAATACGGTTCTTCTGCAGTTTTATTTGTGGTGACGGTAGGTAAGTGTCTAATAGTTTGTTTAATCAAACACTAAGAAAAATCTGTAGATAATGGAAAAAGGTACTGGTAATGTGTTATCCTGCTAATGTGTTTTAGATGTTTTCAAAGCTCCAAGTATTGTGCGTGTATAATGGCTGTTTTAATTCCTAAAACCCTTAAGGATTGCATGCAAATACTTACAAATTATAAAGACACGGAGTGTGAACTTTAACATCTACTCCTCGGCTATGTTCTATTCCTGAATGAATCTTTCCAGTCAGATCTTATCAAGGAATCAGCCGAACTAGCTGACAAAATTGATCTGAATGATTTTGTTCATAAATCCGACTGAAGAACTGTCTCAAATGTCAGAATCAAGACTTGTAGTACTGTTAAATGTAGGCTAAATTAAAATTATGTATATTCTTTGTAAGAACTGATTGACGATAGCACACGTAGGCCTACATCTGCAAGATGTCTGTAAAAGATCACTTAATCTGGAAAGCATCTGCTATGTACAAACATCTAAAAAATTTCATAAGATGTCAGTTTTACATACATTCTAAATCATAAACATCTTAAAGACATTTTCTAAACGTCTATTTGATTGGAAACGTCCTATTGATATATTGCAGATGAGCAAACACTCTAATAAATATGTCTCGCAGACGTCAAATAGATTCTGATAGAATAGTTTCTTATGTTTATTTCCCCTAGTCTGTCCAGAAACAAACCCTTAAAATATTCAAGTCATTCTCCCCATCATGGAAGGCCCATCCATTGTGCCCATGATAGCGTTTTTCGCAGTGGCCCTTTCTGTGTGCCTCATCTGGTTCTGCCTGGTGAAAAGATTCTTGAGACATGCGCAGCGTAAGTGTCAATATGTGTGTACAAAGAGCTGCATGTGGGTTTTGTACATACTTAATGCTTTCAAATCATCTTTTGTAGAAGATGTGCAGTCAAGAACTACAGTCACGAGTACACATCACCCACAATACTCACATAACCAGCCTGTGGCTAATAACCTACAGCCAGCTTATGGAGGGCATCCCATTCTGACTGGACCATGTCAGCAAACTTATGTACCGGGACCACCACCCACATATCAGGAGGCTGGTAAGATCTGCAAACATCTACCTAAAAAAGCTTTACAACATTAAACATACAGGCACTGAGTTTTGTTTATTTTATTTTATTTTTGTGTTAAACGATATGTAAAATAATGTGGGGGCTATTAATTTATCTGCTTTTATCTTTTGTAGAAGATGTGCAGTCAAGAACTACAGTCACGAGTACACATCACCCACAATACTCACATAACCAGCCTGTGGCTAATAACCTACAGCCAGCTTATGGAGGGCATCCCATTCTGACTGGACCATGTCAGCAAACGTATGTACCGGGACCACCACCCACATATCAGGAGGCTGGTAAGATCTGCAAACATCTACCTGAAAGCTTTACAACATTAAACATACAGGCACTAAGTTTTGTTTATTTTATTTTATTTTTGTGTTAAACGATAGGTAAAATAATGTGGGGGCTATTAATTTATCTGCTTTTATATCTGCCTATTTTAATGGTTTTGGGAAGAATAAAGTCTTGCGCATTTTACAACAACAAATGTTGTGCCGCTCTCTGAGGGACTGTTTACTTTTCATCGTGAAACTTGCTAATTAGCACATTATTAGGAAAGGCGGTTTGCAAAGATTCATTAAAAAACACTCCTCCTGTAGGTGAAGCTGGACCATGAATGATTCGCGAATTGATGCAGACAACTGAAAACAAGAAACTTTACATTTGAAAAATTAAGGGAAAAAAGATCAATCCTATCTTTAATTACCAAACAGCCAAATTTTTATTTGCTGGTTTTTGTTTTCCAGCAGGTCTGTTTCCTGCTCGCTTCAGCCAGGCTGCATATGACGGTGGTCAGATCATGTACCCTCTACAACCACCGGTTCAACCAGTGCTTCCCACAGACTACACCTCACCTCAAGCCCCATACAACCCTGCTTATGTGGAATCAGCAAAGACCAGTTAGCCACGCCCCCAAAATGGCCATCTATCAATGCTGGATCACAGAGAACTGTTAGTTTCCACGCTGCTTTGCCTTTGTGAATTGTGCAACTACTACAGACTCTGATAAGACTGTTGAGAGTAAAAGTATTACTGTCATTCATGTACATTTGCCATTTCTAAGTTAATACTTGCTTTGTGAACTTGTTTATTATTTACTCCAGTGACCCACTGTTTGTTTTTTTTCTCTTAATTTTTACCTATTTTAAAGGGGTCATATGATGCGATTTCAATTTTTCCTTAATCTCTGGAGTGTTACAAGCTCTTGGTGCATAAAGAAGATCTGTAAAGTTGCAAAGACTAAAGTCTCAAATCCAAAGAGATATTCTTTATAAAAGTTAAGAGTCAACCACACCTACCTAAAACGGCTC